TTGCACAAAAACAAAATATTCTTAAATTCTTTAATTGAAAAGTCAAGTTAGACAATTCAATGACATGCTCATACATCTCATGCATATCATCAAACTTTATGTTGGTAACCCATAAGTGTCCCAGCAAAATATTTATTAACTGTTTGGAAATGTTCTTTCACATTATTTAGCATTATCAATTTAAGGAAGTTAAAACTTAATGTTTGCTATACTCATTCGCATAAAAACGTAAACTTTATTTGTTCGATCCTTTTATACTTTATGAAAAATCTTTTTTTTCTTTCTTTTATACTGCTTGAATCATAATAGTAGTAAATCTCTCAAACAGTAACACTAAGTCAAAATTCAGAATATCGAGATAAAACTAAACTTGTTCTATTCATTTTGAAAAATCTTTTTCATTTAAAATCGAAACAAATAGGGTATAAAAATATAGCGAAATAAAACTTTAATCAATAATCCATGCTCACTACGTTAATGCTAAGAGTAATCAATAATTGACAATTAGTCAAGATAAATACATGTTTAAACAATCACAAATAGTACCACCATGATCTACCTTTAGAATAATCTAATGGCATACTATTTAACAATTATGGTGATTCTTTTTCACCAATAGGACTAGTTGATAAAATATTCATAATTAAGTAGGTCTGTTACCTTTGGGTATTCATTCTAATATCAATTATGAATATCCATCAACTATTCTATTCCAATTCAACAATTACTTAAAAGTGGTGTTCCTTTGGGCCAACCTAATATCTTTGTAATTAAAGGAATTGGATTTGCAAAGTCATTATTTTTTAATACTTGGGAATGGTATTAAATTTGGGAAAATTACTATGTAGTCCTATGTAGGAGATCTATTTCCCTTCTAATCCCACCATATTTTTGATAGACCAACAGGTCCACAGTTTTTTAAATTTTGTACCCGGAGGTCCCATTTTTAATTTTCTTATTTTTTAAATGAGTGTATTACCCTTTGATTTGAGATATATATATATACATGAAAAATCAAATTTTAGATTGAGGATCTCGCCTATGCGAGGTTGTTTGCAATCTTGATCTCTCTCTGTGAGGTCGATCTCTTTGTGCTGTGATGTCAATTTCTTTGTGCGATCTGAATCTTTATGTATAAGCGATCTCTGCGTACGCTCTCTCTCTCTCTCTCTCTCTCTCTCTCTCCCTCTCTATGTCTGTGTCTTTCTCTCTCTATCTCTCGATACATATATGTATGTATATATATAGATAAGCAAATTCACGTGATCTCTGGTTCGTGTTTGTCACGCCCTCAAAATAAACCCATTATATATATATCATTGGCATGCAATATTAAAAGAAACCAATTCATTATCTCATTCATCAGAGTATTACAAAAAAGAAAACATTACATGTAATATCAATTTAAATGCCCTATGGGCTTACATCTTTCCAAGCCAACACTTGGACACAAAAATATGAGTTCTAACCCAAATACAAATAAAGCCCTAGGCTTGAATGTTTATCAAATAAAAACAAATAACTAAAGATAGTCTTCAAAATCCAAATCCTTCCAAGCTAAGTCCTTGGAGGTAGCTTATCACCTGGACCTGAAAATGATGTTCCCATAAAGGGTGAGCCACAGCCCAGTAGAAATATACTAAACCAAATATAAGCATTGATTAAAGGAATAGCATTCAATAGATGGTTAACCAAGATAATAAATTACATCATTATATAGTTTCATGACACTATTGTCTAAGACACGTTTTACATTCAACTTTATCAATATGGCTCAGAACCTGGCCAAACTTACAACAGTGAACTATATATATCATATTCACATTCTTCCAATGTCAACAAACAGATGAGACTCAGGCTCAAATCCAAAACACTTCATACTTCCAGTTTGATACAAATTTTAGTCTGTATCAATAAAAACACTTCAATATAAATAAGCACACATAAAAGTGATGCTAATGGAGTCCATCCCCTATCTCCTCCCAAACAAAATTCTGTTTAGAGGTCCATCCCCTATCTTCCCTAAACCATGGAGTACATCCCCTATTCTCCTCCCACACAAAACAATGTATGCAAACACATAACATATACAACCACACAACAATCACATAATGTCTGTATTAATTCAGCAGTCAAATTGATGACTTAATCAATGATTAGTTTCAGTTATCCCTAATCCACATGCAGTGTCTACAACAAACACGACTATCCTCCACCGATATCCAAAATAGTTATTTCTAAACTGAAAATAAGTATATCAACAATTCAATAGGCGAGTGATTTAAATTATCCAACTACGCCATTTAATCATGGAATTTCCCAATTCCATGAATTTTAACCATATTTCCCCAATTCCATGAATTAATTATACCAATTAATTTATTAATACAACTAGGGTTTTTCCCAAAATTACCAAAGTATCCCCAACATATCAAAATACAAAACTTAGAACAAACTTATAAGATGGAGTAGGAAATCCTACCTCGAAGAAAATAACCCGAATGGAGAAGACAGAGATGAATACCCAAATTCCAATGTGCTCCAAATCACTAAATGTTCAGATTAAATGGAAGCCTTCGACTCACTCTATCTTTTTAATAAAGGATCTAAGGTAGAAACTCACTCTAAGTAGATCAATCCTAAGAGAGAAGGTGTGTAGAGGGAGAGAGAACTCGTAACTAGGGTTTTGGAATCTGAAAGTGTATGAAAAACTGATCTGAAACACGCTACTGCCTATTTAAACCTGACAGGCTCGCTCGAGCGAGACCTTGGTCGCTCGAGCGACCAGACACACGAAAACCTCGCTCGAGCGAAGAAAAGCTCACTCGAGCCAAGAATGCAATGCTTCAGGTCTGCAACCCTGGAGCACGCTCGAGCGACAGAATGCTCGCTCGAGCAAGAAACTCGAAAACATACACCTCGCTCGCTCGAGCGAAGAAAATCTCGCTCGAGCGAATAAGCACTGCCCTCAGGTCTAGACCAGACGTAGTCGCTCGCTCGAGCGAAGTAAATCTGGATCGAGCCAGAGGACACAAAACAAACCTCGCTCGAGCGACCAAATCCTGGCTCGAGCGACCAACCCAAAAACTGGACAGCAACACTTGGTTTACGAACCCAACCAACCTGAAACAAACCTGCCCAACACATCCTATAACTCCAAATGAGACAATAAAGGACGACAACAACAAATATACAATGACAGAATAAACGGAACCCAAGTCCGGATACAATAATCAAATGGGAAAAGACCGGGCTCGCTATAGTGTTCATCATTGTTATTATAGTTCTTTGTTTTGTGATAAATTTTGTTTGCTTGATACTGATTTTGCGATTTTTGTATGATTTTGATTTTTTTGATTTTGTTTGTTGTATAGTGTAATGTGTTTTGAATTTGTAGTTTGGAATTGTGAATTCTGAAGTTTTGATACTAATATGTTGTAACTGCATAATTTTGCGGTTTGGACTTTGTGATCAATTGTTTGCTGGTTTGTGATTTATAATATGGAGGGGTGTTTCATGTTAATGTGCAAATACAGAAGTCTTGTGCTGCTATTAAGATTAGTGAGGGATGTAGTTATCATGAAGTTGTTGAGAAAATATGTGCGAAATTCAAAGAGTTAAGTGTTGGTAACTTTTGTTTGTTTTTCTCTATTCCTGGATATTCTAATTGTATTGTTGAATGTGATGATGATTTGGGAAATATGATGTCAATGGTAGCTTCTAGTGGTTCTCCTGTTGTTGATGTTGTTGTGGGTGATAGAAGAATTATGGAGGTTGATGATGATGATTCTTCTAGGATTGATCCTGTAATTTGTGAGAGTTATTTGGTTAACGATTGTGATAATTTTGGTGGTTTGTTGCCTGGTTTTTATCCAAAACACAGAGAGAGTTTTGTTGTCTGCTAGTTGGAAGGGGATTATACACAGTGTTGGTCAAGAATTTGACGGTGGAGTGCCAGCGTTCCGTATTGCATTGGCTAAGTATGCAGTTGAGTGTGGTTTTATAGTGAATTATTTGAAGAATGATGTACCAAGAGTAACTGTTGAATGTATGATGAATGGAAGAGTGTTGATGAATTCTGGTATTCTTTTATTATGAAGTTGGATAATGTGCATACTTGTGGGGTTGTTGCTCGTAGATCTTGTAGTAAAAGGTTGGTTCTAGACTTATCTCTGATATTGTGCATAATGATATTAGTGATAATTTGTTGACTCGTCTTATCGAAGTGAAAAAAAAGTTGAAGAAGCAATATGGTATAGATGTTTCTTATTGAGTTGCATTGTTAGGAGTTGATAAGGTAAGAAGTGGGTTGTTTGGTAATTTGTATATTCTTTTGACCAACTTCGATGGTACCTTGAGACAGGTATGAGAACGAATTTTAGAAGTGTGTTTGAATTAGATATGGATGAAAGTAATGGATGTTTTTGGAGGTTGTTTGTGGCATTTCATGGATGTTTGTACAGATTTCAATTTTGTCGTCCGTTGTTGTTTGTTGATGGTACATTTTTGAAGGGGCATTACAAGGGGTATTTGCTTGCAACAACATCAAAGGATGGTAATCAAGGTATATATTTATTTACAGTTAGTATAGTTTTGGTTTGTCAGTGTGTTTTGGTAGTTGGTGGATTTTGGTTTCTATTATTGTATTTTGAGTTTGCTAATTTTTGTAGTTTCATGTTATTTTGTTTTCAGGCCTGTTTCTTTTGACTTTTGCAATTGTTGATGCTGAAAATCAAGATAATTGGATATGGTTTTTAAGTCAGTTGTTAAAAGCTATTGGTTCAGGCCGGAGATTGACCTTTGTGTCCGACCATCAACATGGATTGCTAGATGCTCTTTTAGTGGTTTTTCTCAATGCACATCATTCATATTGTTTAAACCATTTGAAGAGAAATTTGATTGACAAATTGGTGGGACTTCGTACTAACTATAAGCTGACTTTGATGAAAATATTAGTTAAATGTGTTTATGCCCCAACTGTTGCTTCTTTCCAACATTAAATGGAGAAATTGAGGCGTTTTGCTGGGAATGGTAGAGTGGATAGTATGTTGGATGGTTTGCAAAATGATAAGTGGGTGAATGCAATTTTTAAAGGGAAACGATATGGTGAGACGTCATCTAATGCTGCCGAGCCTTACAATAATTGGATTTGTGGGGCTTGTGAGTTGGCTATTACTTGTATGGTTTATATGATTAGGGTTCAAATCATGACTCAATTGTCTAATAAGAGAGCTGAATCTAAAAGATGGACTTCCAAATTGTGTCCAGTTATGGAAAAGAAATTGGTGGACTCTTTGAAGCTAGCTAAGTCTTGGGATGTGATTATTACTGTGCTTGAGGTTCATTCTTCTATTTCTTTTTATGTTGATATTAGTAGATGGACTTGTTCTTGCCATGAATGGCCATTGAATGGTTTTTCTTATTGTCATGCTACGCATGCTTTGCATAGTAGTGGTAGAGATGTGTATGATTTCATTGATCTTTTTTTTCTCGTGTGGATTGTTTTAGAGAGTCGTATAAGGAATCTGTTTATCCAGTGCCTTCAATTGAGAGATTTGACTTTAATGGTGTCGGTAGTTTGATTATCAAACCTCCTATAACGAAAAAGCAACTCGGGCAGAACAAGAAGAAGATGATACCTTCTAGGGGTGAGAATGTGAAGCAAATCAAGTATGAGAGGTGCTTGAAATATGGAAATCACAATAAGAAGATGTGCAAGGTTGCTATTTGAGGTCATAGTCTATTATTTCGATTTGTATTTGAAGTTGAGGAATTATGATAATAAAATGCGATACTTGGTATTATGGAAGTAATAAATAAAGTTGGTTGCATTCTTTTTTCTTTTTTGATGTGTTCTTTAGTTATTGAAATTGTTTTATAACATTTTTTTTTTGGGTTTGTGGAGTTGGTTGGTTTTATTTTTTGAAATACTGAGAAGGTTTTTAAAAATTTCTTATTGAAGTTGTATAATCTTGCAGTTTTACTACATGATGTATTTATTTAATGTTTCATAATGACAAAACTATATAATTTTTCAATTTCATTTACAATTTTGAAATGTAGTTCATCTATTTGTGTGAGTCGTGAAATTAGATAATTTTGCAGTTTCCAGAATTATGTAGGAAATACATATTATAATGCATGAAAGGCAATTCACAATAATGAAACACAAATTGTGTAGCATAATTTTTGTTTGAGTGATAAAACTGCATAATTTTACAGTTTTAAGTATTATTAGAAATAACCTGTCCTGTATGAATTTATATGCAACCACAAATGTGACGACAATAACAACCACAAGAACACAAACAAGAATAATAACCACAGGAAGAACAACAAGAAGAATAATAACAACAACAAGAGCAACAACAATCATCACCACCACGATAACCACAAGAAAATCAATCGCCAAAAGCATAAAAAGTACTTGTCATACCGTAAAAAAAAAAAAACGTACAAAAATATATTCACATGAGTATTTTTATTGTAAAGAAGTTTGTTAATTGTTTCTATGGTTTAGTATGTTTTGTCAACATTTGATAGTGCTCGAGGTTCTAAGATTGGTTCTTATCATTGAGAAATTGACTGATGATTCCTGCTCGAAATTTGACCCACTCAGTTGGTTGGAGTGATTTCTACACAGGTTGCTAGTTGATATATTGGCTGATAACGTTGCAGACGGCAATTGCACAATCATTCCTGCAAAGTTTTAGATGAAGTGAACTAGTTAGGTAAAACTGAAAAATTTAGCATATTGAAACATTAGTTATTGAGTTTGTATCTTACAAGTATGGGGTTTGTTGTGGACATTTCTCAATTGATGCAATTACTGTCTCACACTCTTGAGATGATAACATGATTCTTTGATTGCTGAATAATGCTTTATTCCATTTTAGTTGATATTGTTGCTATAAAAAAGTCAATGGGTGTTTTTGTTAGTTATAGTGAGGTGCTTAGATGTTTTGAAAGGAATAGAACTAGGTTGGAAATTTTATTTAACTTACAATTTCTTTTGTAATTTCAAAGTGCTTGTTGTGACATCCTTTTGCTGGTCTCAAAGAGTCATAGTGCCTCCATATCCCATCAGCATTGTCAAAGACCACAATGGTCCAATGGTTGTCGTGGTTGATTGCGAAATGGATATATCCTTTTTTCATTGCTTCTAGAAAATGGTTGTCCATCATTTTTTCTCTCAGTGCCTAATCTTGGTTTTGTAGTGGAGTCTGTAATTTATATATGTTTGAAATATGTTATAAAAGTATGTAGTAAGACATGTTCAAAAAGTAAAAAATTTTGCAGTTTGAATAATATTGAAAGGTATGGTAATAGTTTTGCTTACATTGATGAGTGTTGAGAAAACGTAAAATCTTCCTGCGTATGGATTTCTTGCAAACACTAGATCATGTTTCTCAAATTCTTCAATTGATGGTTGGAGTACCAATTTCATTTCTACGAAGGCATCAATGACCTGAAACATGTTATATATGAGAATGTGTTAGGTTTGTGGAATAGTTTATTAAACATGAACAGAAACTGTAAAACTATGCAGTTTAAGACCTACATTTCCATATAAGGCTTCCATGTTACACAATCTGCATATATCTTAAAAGTATATGCAATTTTCATCTTCGCTGTTAAACCAGACACAAGCAGCTGATTATGTGTTGTTGATGAGTTGAATTTGGCCTTGGTCTTTTTGGGATAGGCTATGCCAAACCTTGTTTGTTTTGCAGAATGAAAGGGTGAGTGGCTTATTGTGGATTGGTTCTTCCTTGAAGTCATCATCACTTTCCAAATCAGGAGCTACTTGAACTTGTGTTTTCCCTTGATTGGCATCCTCTTTTAGCTTAGGTTCACCACCAGCTTCTTTCTCTTGGCGGATTTGTTCTTTCATGTTTTCTTTCCCCTGCTTTTTTCCTTCATCAGTACCCTCTTTCGGCTCAGGTTCAGCAACAGGTTTTTTCTCTTTTTTGATTTCTTCTTTTGTCTTTTTGTTCCGTTTCTCTTTTTCTTCATCAGTACCCTCTTTTGGGTTTGGTACATCAGCAGCAGCTTCTTTCTCGTTCCTTGTATCTTCTTTGTCATTTTGTTTATGCAAATTTTCTTTGGCTTTTTTCATTGGTTGGTATTCAAAATTTGGCTTATGTGCTCATTTTCTTGACTTTTGTTTGATTCTCTTGACCATTGATCTTTGTTTGGGACTTTTTTCTGATTGTTGTTGATGATGTTTTTTTTTTCTTTGGAACTGTGCTTCTAGTTTTTTTGGCGGACATTGCCTTCAACTCCTCTTCCTTTCTACGCAATTCAACCCTGAATTTTTGTTTCATTTCCTATATCTGTGCTCTCATTGATGCTATGAGTTTGTCCTTGTTGTCCTCTTGGGTTGATGTTTGTGCTTGGTCATCACCTATTAAAAAGTTGCATTTTTTTTGGTTAGTTTAATTAAAATTTTCAGTTTGGTTTAGTATTAGACAAGAGTTTACCTTGTTCATGAAATATGTCAAATTTCTCTTGGAGTTCTTCTTCTTGTTGTTCTGTCCCTTTTTGTTCTTATTGGTCTACTTGTTCTTTTTCTTCAAGTTGTTGCTCTTGTTGGACTATCACTTCTTGTTCGTTGACTTCTTTCTGTTGGTCTGTTTGTTCTTCTTCTTCTTCTTGTTAGTGTTCTTCTTCATCAGTGTTTTCTTGTTCATCACCTTCTTGTTCTTCTTTGTCTTCATCACTCTCTTCTTCTTATTCATCACTTTATTCTTCTTCAATTTGTTGCTTTTGTGGTTCTTGCTTTCTTTTCTTTCTTTTTTGTTCTTGTTCTTGTTCTAATTCTGATTGGTGTTCTTATTCAAGAAAGTCTTCCTCATCATTGTCTAGAAGTTTCTTTTTTATTGCTTTTGTTTGTTTTTTTCACTTTTTGTCCTTTTTGTGGTCATGTTTCTTTGCTGAAAAGTATGTTGATGTGCTTTGATTGATATGCAATATTTGTATTTCTTGTTCAGTTGGGGTTAAAGCACTTTGGTCAACCTACATTGGAACAATGTGGCATATATCAGTAATATTGGAAAATTGGTCAGTTTCATAACATGATTTGTATTATGAGTAATGTGAGTGAAGTGTTGAAAATATGTTGTTTGAAACTGCAAACTTTTACAATTTCATAACATAATGTTACTGTGATCAATGTTATAGGAGTGTTAAATAGATTTTTTCTCTGAAATTGTAAAATTTTACAGTTTCATAATATTTTTGTTACTATAATTACTGTGGAACGAGTGTTGTATAGATTTGTGCTTTGAACTGCAAATGTTTACAGTTTTATAACATGATTGTTACTGTAATGAATGTGAAAGGAACGTTGAATAGATTTGTGCGTTGAAACTGCAAACTTTTGCAGTTTCATAACATGAGTGAAAGGAGTGTTAAATAGGTGTGTGCTTTGAAATTGAAAGCTTTTACAGTTTCATAACATGATTGTTACTGTAATGACTGTGAAAGGAGTGTTGAATAGATTTGTGCTTTGAGAGTATAGAAAAGTTTGAATACCTTTTCAAAGTCAGCAAGGCTGATGTGTTTCCACTTTGAGTACATTTTGCCAAGGTTCCACTTCATAAACCTTGAGAAGCCTTCTTTGTTGGATGGTCGGAGGAGTTTACTTTGCTCGCAGTATTGGTACTGTAAAAAAAATTGAAATATGTTAAATAGTTTGAGATAGTTGGATGTTTGATATTTTTGTGTAAAGTAATTGAATAGTGTATTTACCAAGAGTAACATGACGCATCCAGTGACATGCCTTTGGTTGTTGTTTGCATTTACCATTGAATTCATCAGTGTATCTTTTATTGCCTCAACCCAATTGTACTTCTTGATGTTGTTGAGATTTTCAACATAGTTGAGGAAACTCCAACTGAGTGTATGTCCTGTTGTAGGCATGAGAAGTTTTAGGCAAAAGTAAAGGGCGATAACCCCTACAAGATCTTGACGGTCATTGGTTGATTTTTCTTTTTTTGTTTCTTGAAACATTTTGGTCAATGACTTGGCATCTAGTCTCTTCATTGATTTACATCTTCGTTTGTAAAATGCGAGCTCAAAATCCTTTGGCTTTGCATAGGATTTGGTGGTGATGCTGTCTTCTTCACAGTCGATACCAAAAATGAACTTTACATCACTGTTTCTAAGTTTCATTTTCTTTTTGCCAAGTATAAATGCTCTCTCTTTTATTTTTTTGTTGTAAAGTGTTGTCATTTCTGCTACAATGGAATTGTAGCATCTACACCAAGAGGCCTTCAGTTGTGTTGAGAAAAAAACATTTATAATGGCCTAAAAAGGGATTTTTTGCAGCTTTGTCTTTTGCGCTATTGTGAATTTGACCCCCCCTTGAACAGTTTGATTACCGTTCCAATGTTGGAATGATAATTAAACTGTTGGACTCTCTTTGCAAGGACTGCTCCTTTTTTCCCTTTTGATGCCTTGGTTTATGTTTCGAGACTTGATTGGCTTTCCTGGAGCTTTCTTCTCTTTTTTTTTGTTGGAAAATCTTCTTGTTTTTTTGTTTGTTTGTTTTTTTTTTTTTTTTTCCTTTTTCTTTTTTTGGAGGTGTGGTTAGTGTTTGTTGTGTGGGTGTGGTCTATGGTATAGTTCTTGGGAGTTTTCTTGTAAGTAGTGTGGTTGTTTTGTGGGTTTTTTTGATTGTTTTTTGTTGTGGTGGTTGGGTTTTTTGTGGAGGGGAGATGGTGACAT